TAATAGTAGTAGTAGTAGTAGTAGTAGTCGTAGTAGTAGTAGTCGTCGTCGTCGTCGTAGTCGTAGTAGTAGTAGTAGTAGTAGTAGTGGATGATGCTGAAGATGGTTATCATGACAGCAATGCTTGTCAGAATCTTGCTTTGCTGCGTGATGGCACCAAGCAGTTGTATCAGCGCTAGATGTAGTAGTGTAGCGTCGAACAGCCAAGCATCAGCATCAGCATGATCATCCAGTTCCTCGCCAGCACCACCACCATCACCGTTATCATCATCATCATCCTCATCATCATGATCACACTCTCGCTCATACCCTTTTGCTCATACCCTGTCGTCATGTCGGCCATAGTTACTTGCGTCGTTTTTGGCATCTTCGCGGGACTGCGTAGTACTCTTGTCTATTTTCAACGATCTGATGGAGGTGTTTCGGAGACTGGGCAACTGACGCAGCAGCCGCGGCTCGACCTGTTCTTCTCGAAAAATTGAGAAGGCATGTCAGGTGTTGCTTCTGCAGACCTCAAGACCTGAGACGTCTGTTTGAAACCGACCAGAAGGCTCAAGTCCAAATCTTGGAAATCCGTGCGGTCTTGTTGTCTGTTGCAATGGTTATTCAGTTACTGGCAGCTGGCAGATGTCCAGAATCTTCCCAAAGTTGGAAGTTGAAGCCACCAGAGCAGACACTTACACGCCCGTCAACATTTTCAGCCAGCAAGTCGGACAGACTACTAGTCAGCCAATCGTGCCATATATACTCGTTTGATTCAGGTACAAGCTACTGCGGTAATGATGATGCTAGTGGCGATGTTTGCCATCATGATGTTGATCATCATGACTGCATATTCGGTTTGTGTGACATCTTGCTGTTGATAGTGGTACAGTGTATCTGCCAGCAAACAAGTACTGCTTCCTAGCATAGGCAAGCCTTGATGTCTTAGCTTTGCTTTAGTTTGGCACTTTCCGATACCCTAGCTGCACTAGCCCCCGACCGTTGGGTACCCTTCATATCTCGTTCACTTCTTAGCCGGGCGTCCAGCCTATGTGAAGTTGGTGGGGAAGCGTGGGAGAGGGGACACGTGGGGTTGTAAGATTTGGGGTCGTAAGTCGCAAGATTTCATACCACGGGGAGGGTATAGCATTCGTGCGAAGGAATCAGCGCGGCTCCTGCCTATCGTAACTAGCAATGACTCGTCATGCCAGTACTTTGTGACGTCCATCACAGAGGCCGTCGCGACATCGCCTGGCATCGGCAGCATCGTAGTCTCAATCGCAGTCGTAGACGTACAGAGGTGATGGTAGCTGCCATGGTGTGTGAGCAGTGGCAGTATTCTTCGTCATGGTCGTTTGCTGACAGTGTTGCTCGTGGTGCTAGTGCTGGCGCTGCTGGTGCTACCGGTGGTGGGAGTGCGCTGCTGCTGCTGCCACTGCTGCCACTGGAGCTGCTGCTGCTGGCACCGGAGCTGCTGGTCTTGCTTTTGCTGCTGCTGTTGTTGACATTGCTATTGTCGTCGTTGTGGTCGTTGTCGTCGTTGTTGTTGTTGTTGGCCTTGTTGTTGTTGGCCTTGTTGGCCTTGTTGTTGTTGTTGTCGTTGTCGTTGTCGTTGTCGTTGTTGTTGTTGTTGTTGTTGTTGCTGTGGTCGTCGTCGTCGTCGTCGTCGTGGTCGTAATCGTGGTCGTGGTCGTGGTCTCCTCGCTTCCCGAGCTTGCGCTCTTGTTCAGAAGTTGTGCTCGTTGCCTGTGTTTGCTAGGCTGATCTGATTCGATCTGGTGTTTCCTTGCACTCGTTTGCCAGCATAATAAGTACCCAGAGAGACATCATGATTCATTCGTGTTGATGTGGCTGCCACTCGCAGCCGAATTGCCTGGAGCGACACTGACGTTCAGGATGACAATGACGACGAATTTATAGAAATGCTGTCCAAAATTTCTGGGGCAATGCCAGGCATTCCTCACCTCTTACTACGGTGCACATCAAACACAGCTCTCTGCCTTTTTGAGATTGGTGAGTCAGGCTGGGAACCCGGTGACGGTGCAATGCATGTAAACAAGCCTGTTCCGCAGATGCATGGCGTTTACGGCTTCATACTTGGTTCAGGGTGCTGGAACTGTATTGTACTATACTACGCCCTACTATGCCAAACTACACCAAGCCAGACCAGACCACAACTCGCCCCCTTACACATGCACTTTGCGCTGGAGCCCCATGCAAAGCCTCTGGTAAGCAAGGATTCTTCCTCCTTCAGGTTCTTTCGGTAGCGTCTCTGGGGCCCCGTGATGTCCTGGCTCAAGATTTCCCCCTGACGCCTCTCAGCCCTCACAACCTGAACGAAGATTTTTCAAGGATCCTGTACTTGCAGGTCGGATATCAGGTTAGGTCTGGTGGTATGAACGCCACCAGGACTTAATCTCCTCATGTTGGCCACTATTCTCCTTTGTGTGAAGGCCTGGACTCACACACCATACAACCCCGGAAGTCTGCGAAATTTTGTCCTAGAGCTGGGTGGCAAATGGTAGACATGACATTGCAGAACAGCCCGTGTGGTCGGCATACTTTCAAGCAGATGCTCCTACCCGCGAACCCACAAGCTAGTAAGACGTTAAAGCTGCAGGCCTAAGGAAATGCCCAATGCAATGGCGCTTGTCGGTGCAGTTCCGGGGCCTGCCAGCTTGCCCGCTGAGGCTTTGGAATCCGGTGGGAAGACGTCGGAATAGTTCACAAAGCTGTACAGCACCGGATGCGGGCTTCGAGCCTTTAACCCCCAGCCCTTTGTTTGGTAGATGTGTTCTGTGACGGCCGGTGCTTTTTTTTGGGCTTCAGGACTCAGGGCCCAGGCTAGGTCCGGACCTGTATGCAACCCACATCCCAAACCGCCCATCCGACAGTGTCATACTTGGGGCCTTTTTGAGCTTGTGAGGGTGGGAGGCGGCTGCGTGGGAGGAGTACTTCATGAGGGCTGCTTCTGTTTCGTCTTCGGCAGCAGTTTGATTGCTAATGAAACCTTTGCTTGTCAGCTCCAGGAGCCTCTCCAGGCTCGATCTGCCGCATCCGGCCCCATCTTGTCCGGCACTTGGATGGCATCCCTGAAGCTCCAGCCTGAATTTCAAAATAGACTAACCCAGCAGCGCATTCCTAGCCGAGCTGGAACCCGGAGTCGGAAGCAAATCACCCTGCGCCTGTTGGCAAGCATGATCTGGTGCTGCGGCTAACGGACAGCTATAGAATATTACGATGTCAATGTGAAGGCTTATTTGGGATTTGGGTGCGAGTTGTTCAAGTTGGTTTGAGGACGTGAAACTCTGGAACTTGTTGTCGGCTCCGCCATTAACAGCACTACTGGGTACTGTTCGGTTGGGTATAAGGCTTGTAATGACAAATCTCTGCTGGCTCGGCTATCTCCAACCTGGCTTGTATCAGCTCCTCGGCCTCAACCCACCATCAATGACCTTCCTGTCCGCCTGAGCAGGCCAACTTCATGGAAAGCCAAGGCGCTCTTGGCTCCGGGTTTCGTAGGGTTTGCAGTAGAGAGTTGATGAAGCAGTTGGTCTGCAATGTGTCTACGCGCGTATTTCATCGGCGACGGCGATCTCGCCCCTGCTCTCTCGCTCTCTCTCGCTCCCTCCCTCCCCTCCCCTCATACCATACATAAATGAGTTGGATCAATACAACAATACAAGCATAAGTACAACACGTCTACAGAACATTTGCATACCATTTACCGATGTGCCAGTCTATCTCTATCCATCTCGCTATCGATCTGTTTACCTACAGACTGTGTATGTATTCATGGTTCGGCGCACGTTGATGCAACCTGGACCAACCAGTTTTGAGGGGCTAAGGGTTCACAGTGCGAATGAAATCTAGCAGACGCTTGCCCTCGGCCATCTCATGGTAAGAGATCATGGTATCAACAAGCAAAGTTGGCCTTTGTCCCGAAGTGCTTAGGATCCCATTCGGGATCGATGTGGAAACTCCAGGACCCCAATGCGTCATTTGCTTTGAGTCCGGTGCGGAGGTCGAGGTCCATGAGTCTTATTAGGAAGCTTGGGAGATGGCAGCATGAACGCTGCATCAGGGAAAGGCTACACCTGCATCGTGCCCAGCTTGAAACCTTCAACCCTTAGCCTTAGCTCTAAGGCTACTTCCGTGACTTGAAACTTTGCACTGTTTAACGAGCCCTCCAGAACCCCATAAAAAGCTGGTTTTGCCGAAGGCCCAACCAGAGCAGAGACAAGTGGTGGGCTGCGTCGTGGCAACTTTGGGGCCCTTGAGCCCAGAAGTTGGCAATTTTGCCCTTAAAGCCCTATGCCTCTAGAACCCCTATCGTAACCCTTTATAGTAACCTGGCTCAAGCTGTAACAGTGAGGTGGGTTGAAGGCATCTGAGTTCTTCTACCATGGGCTTTTGTTGCAGGCTGTCGTGCATCATTTAGTGTTGGCTCTAGCGGCGGACCGGCATGACAAGACTCTCAAATGTAGGCTTGCGCCATTGGCCAAACTCGCACCAGTCCCTCAACAAGCATCAACCTGCAACACTCTGAAGAACGAGGCTGGCTGCTTCCAGGCGGCGAACGGTGCCACCCCGTCGAGCTGCAATGGTTTTTGAATGAAATTTAAATATCGCAGAACATGACATGCGCACCTTATGCTTCTAACGTCGGACATTTGAAATTTGACTGCAGCCCTGACCTCGGCATCCATTCCTCGCTTTCTCTTCATATCCAGAGCGAGACGCGGTGATGTCCCATCTCCACCCGTGGCTGCCAATGTCGCTTGTATTCCGCTTCAAGGCACAGCTTGAGGCTGCCGAGTGTCCACCCGTGCATGCAATGGCAATGGATCCACTTATCGGATGGAGCAGGCTGAAGGTCTTTTCGGCAGAAGAAGCACAACAAACTCAGCTGTTTCAACCACTACTGTTTTCACAAGAAGACATCCCACCACCAGCTCAGAGGGAAGTTGTCGAAGCACGAACCACGGCTGCGCCTTGGGCCGAGTTTTCCCGGAACCATGGAGCTGACGAGGCCAGCTTCCGCAGTATCACGGTGTAGTATGTAGCATGGTGTATTGGATATAGGAGTTATATAGTACATAGTAGTATATAGAGGATGCAAGGGTCTAGTGTTTAGTATTTTATAGTGCTGTACAGAATTGCATGTATAGTATTGTACAGCATTGTAGCTTTACTAAAGTATAAAGCATAGAAAAGTAAATAAAATAGCATAGTAGAGAGTACGAAAAAGATGCTTCTTCTGAGGCGACGCTGTCACGGCATTCTGGCTCTTACAGCCTTTGCACTCGCCTGGCGACCGGGTCGGAGCCTCGCCTTCGGTGCCTTTGGTGATATGGGACCCTTTGCTAGCAGAGCTGCCTGCTGTGCAGAGGTGTGCAGGCCTTTGCCGGCGCGGCCCGTGCCTTGTGGTCCATGTCGCAGAGAACCGATTTAAGGCGCTGGAACGTGTTATAATTGTAGAAGCGGCGGTGTTTGGCTCGCCGTAGCGTCCCGGAGGCAGTTGCAACAGCCAACTGCCAGACGAGCTGTGATGGAGCCACCGACCAGGCCAGGGACAGCACTGCGCTCTTCAGGGTTCGTTCGACTTCGGAGTTGCTGACAGATACTTCTCGCAACCTAGGAGCACTGTCGGGAGCTGAAGTCAACAACGGCAAAGCAAAATCGGACTGCGACAGGATAGAACCGCTTGCAGCGATCGTCAAACTTTGTGGCCATCACGAGATTTGGCGCAGTCTCGTGGCAGGATGCGCCCTCCGGATGTGGAAGATGCAGTACGATCCAAGGTGTGGCATGGGACCATAAAAGCGGCCCCATAATTTGCACAATCCCCACTCGCATGTTGGTGCTCCCGATGGCATATTTGCAGGTTTATGCGGATGTTCCAGGCTTTATCATATTGGCCTGCTTGCGGCAACGGGTTGCTGTTTTGGGCCTGAAATTTCGAAGCCATTCCGTGACCCAAAAGCGCATAAATGTGCGTTGCGGCTGGAAGCACTACACCCTGAGCCTTGAACAGACTTGGATCTCGTGATCGCAAGGCCAATACGCTCAGACTGAAATGCATCCCAAATTGCATCTTGTACCATTAAACCCCTCCGACCCCAACCCCATCTACAGCAAACTACGACACCCTACACGCCAGGCCAAAGATTGGGCAGAATGTTTAGTGCAGTTCGGTGACAGCGCCTACGATGCGCAGGAGGCTTTGCCGCCCAGAAAAACGAATTCTGCCTCGCATACATTCATATTTACAGTACCGTGCATAAACACACATTTTGCGTTTATATACTTTGTATAGCATCGTACAGCAGATTCGGGGGTTTGGGGTTTAGGGAATGGTCCTAGCTATCAGCAATGGTCGATTTGTCGTAGGCCCAAGCCTCCGACTCCCGACTGCGTCTTTGAGGGTGCAGGCAGCTCCAGAGTCAGGTTTAGGGTTTAGGGTTTATAGTAACATCCAAGGAATCAGAGGGCTTTCGATTCAAAGTAGGTGGTCTTCCCGTACCACCAGATCCCAAGATGTCCATCGTAAGCTTGATGTACCCGCCAGTTATCCCTCGCAGTAGAGTAGGTCACCTTAAACCTCTCTGGGGTATTATATCATACCCCCTAAAACAGAATCCCAAAGGTTAGCCCTTAACCATGAGTTCCCTCTGAGGATACTGGACAACTAGGTATCAAGGTCCCAGAGTCTCGAATCCTGGTCTGCGAAGCCGCCCGGAAGCGAAAACAAGTGGCGATTCCTTTGCGAGGTCTGGGTCTTCCGCCGGGGAGACTACGAGGAGCTCCAGGGCGTAGGGCAGAGTATATACTTATGATAGTAGAGTGTGTGTGGTGTAGAGAAGAGGAGAGGAGAGAGCAGAGTGCCGAGTCTGGTATAGTATGGTATGGCCTGGTATAGTATAGTATAGCATAGTATAGTATAGTAGTATAGGAATTTTACCAGCTTCAAGACATTGGCCGAGGCTGATGTGGATGCAGCAAGGTCCGGACAGCTACAACCCCTCGAGCCTGTCACCTTACTCACGGCTGCTACAGAGGATTGCCAAGCCCCGAAACCCTAAACCCCCAAACAGCAGATCGGCATTGTCCGACATTGTCTTACCGTCTGTTCCTGGGCCAAGGCCATGACACGCAACTCCCAAGGTGCCGTACCCTGGCGGCTCAAACCCAAAGCCCGGGTCCGAAATCCCAGATCGCTACAAAACAAGATGCATACGATGATCACTTGCAGGTTTATTAATTATCATTATCAGTAGTATCATCATTATGATTATTGTTATCATTATCATTATTATTATTATTGCTATCATTACTGTTATTGTTATTATTATGAGCGACTAGAGCATCGCAGGAGTTTCAGCGCCTCATCGGCCTACGGCTTAGCTACCGGAAGCCCAGCGCCCCGGGCGACGCAGAGGCGCCGGCGCTCGGGAGCTCGGCAGCTCTCTGAGACGAGCCCCTGGGCCCCAGGGTGTCCTTTGTAAAGATAGAAAGGGTTAGGAGCAAGTGTGGAACCCTAGCAGGAATTTTTCAGTACTGGGAAGTAAGTAATGGAAACAGCAAAACTACGGATGATAAGTGTAATCATCATCATCATCATCATCGTCATCATGACTGATAGTAATAGTAACGAAAGTAATACAGCCTGCACAGATCCTGAGAGATCCCCAAGTCTTCGCATCAAGAGCTCAGCGTGAAAATGAACTCCTCCCACCCCTGAAACTCAAAAGTGCTGCCCCCAGCCCCAACAACAGGTACGGTAACAAGAGTATATAGCCAATAACGATCTTGCTTTCCCATACGGTAGTTACATACGGTAGTTACTGGTATTATCAGTTATGATGATGGTGATGATGATTACTACTATCATACCTATTATGCCAATTTTTGTCACTTTCATTATCTATTTCATACACCTCTTTTCGCGTTTCCAGCGCACAGGATGCCGGCCCGGCGCGCTTCGGCACGGCACGGCGCGAGGAGGCCTCGAGAGCGAGAGGGCCGAGATCCTGGATCATTACAGGGTTTAGGGCTGGGGGTTTTGAAGGAGAGGGCTCCCCGTAATTAATTAAGTAGGATCTGTTTTATAGAGATTCAGAGTTGACAGCTTTCGTCAGTCCGGGTGCTGGTTCTGGCTGATCTGATCTTAGTCAACGCGGTAGATGTGGGATTCGAGGATTGATCAAGGTTTTTTTCTTTCTGCATTGGTCGGCACAGGGATGGTTTCAGGTTTCGAGCAAGCGCATCCCTGCCAGGCGGGTCTTTGGTCTGATGGGGGGTTGGGGCTGAGGGTGCGGCTGTCGGTGTTCCGATGGGAATTTGGAAACAACTGACGAGGGCATATTTTCCAGCTGCCACCGATGTCAGGCGATGCAGAACACCAAAGTCCTCTGCCGGGAGAGGCGACCCTGTCGACAGCGCAGCATTTGTGGACTTGTTTCCCAACCATGTGTGTGTGCCCAGGAACATCGACTCCTCCCTGATCTGCTCGCAGTGTGTCAAAGTTTTTACAGGCCGCTTGGTGAAGCCTCCTTTAGGAACTCATTCCAGTCCTTTCTGCTGTCGACTTGACGCTCGAATCACAGCTGAATGCGGCCAGGAATCGTCAAACAGATAAGTACAAACAGATAACTAAGATTTGTATATGAGTCTGTCATGGGAACATGTATGCACGCATGCATGCATGTATGTCAACGTATGCTTGCACGTACGTACTACGTATGTGTGTATTGTATTGTGTTGTGTTGTAATGTAACGTAATGTAATGTAATGTAATGTAATGTATTGTAATGTAATGTAAAATGTAATGTACTGTAATGTAATGTAATGTAATGTCATGTCATGTCATGTCATGTAATGTAAGGTAATGTAATCTAAGATAATGTAATGTAATGTAATGTAATGCAACGTAACCCAATGTAATGTATTGTAGTGTAATGTAATGTAATGTAATGTAATGTAACTGTATGTATGTAACTGTATGTATGTAACTGTATGTATGTAACTGTATGTATGTGTGTATGTATGTATGTACTTATGTACGTATGTATGTATATATGTCTGCAGCGTGTAGATGTATACAACATGCATACATACCATGCATGCATGTGGATAGATGAATGGATGGATGGAAGCATGGATGAGTTTCATGGGTGCATGTATGTGTGTCTGTGTGTATGTCTCTGTGTGTGTGTGTGTATGTATGTATGTATGTATGTATGTATGTATGTATGGAATCTGTAAGTATGTATGTATGTTTGCATGCACGTATGTTGTAGGTATGTGCGAGCATGCTTGTATGTATATATGCCTGTACGCATGTATGTATGTATGTATGTATGCATGCATGCATGCATGCATGCATGTGTGCATGTATATATGATTATATATGTATGTGCATGTGTTTGCCTCTATACTTATGTGCTTGAGTAGGTGCACGTGTATGTGTTTGTTTTGTGAAGGGTATGCGTAGCCGCATCTCTGTGTGTGTATGTAACTGTATGTATGTAATGGAATGTAATAATGCAATGTCATGCAAAGGTATGTAATGTAATGTATGTACACGGAGGTATATGTGCGTACATGTTGTATGTTATTGCATATGTATACGTCCATGCATGTCTTTGTATGTCTACATATGTCTATGTATGCATGCATGTATGTCTGTATGTATGCATGCATGTATGTATGTGTTTATGCATGTAAGTAAGTCAGTCAGTCAGTAAGTCAGTAATCAAGTATGTTGATGTATGTATATACATTTGGTTGTGTGTCAATGTTAATGTATATAGGCATGTAAGAGTGCATGTTCGGATGGATTGGAGACTGGATGGCTTGATCTTAATATCTAAACTGCCTATGATGCGTACAGTCATTAGCATGTGTTCATGTTTTGGTGCCTTGATGTATTGTTGCATGATCGTATTCATGTGTTGATGCATGCACTCCTTGGCAAGCACACACACACGGAGTTACGTCAACTGACACCCCTGACTCTCAAGCCTTGGACAGGCGGTGCATACGAAGAGGCAGGCATTGCAGCGTGGAGCTCGAAGAGAACATGCAGGGAGAAGGTACAGACCCTGGAACCACAAAGAAAAACCCGACATCGCTAGAGCCCAAAAATCCTCAAGCCTGAATCCACCCCAAAGAGCCGAAGCACAAACTCCTAAAACCCTTGAAGCCGAAAGACTCGACCCACTCTGAGCAGTGAGGTCCCTGCACACCCCCCGGTGCCGGACGTCCTCGGCTGCCTGGCACTGTCGGTGGGCGACGTGGATGGGTGCTTTCCTCAAAGCGGTGTAGGTTTAGGGCTCATACAGGTCAGACGCTCTGGCGCCCCACTCTCCGCGACAAGCTGTTTGTGTTGCTCCACTGCTGTAAATCTGTCCCTTGTGGAGTTCTCGGCAGATCTATGGGCTTTGTGTTTGAGCAGCTTGCCATCATCTCGTTCCTCGCACTGCCAAGGACCGGAAACGAGACGAGCACCCAGGCTCAGCAACCCCACTGACTTTGGACCACTGGGACGTGTGCAACTCTTGCGCAGCATAAAGCTGTGTGACGCTATTGTTGCTACTAATATTTAATTGTTGTTTCCGTGTTACGATGACTACTGTTCCCATCAGATTATGTTGAGTCTTATCTTTTCCATCTTGATGGATGCTCCCATTTATTTCTGCAACTGTTTGCTATTCTTAGCATTATTGTCCTGGCAGGGTGGCATCGCCCGGAATCGCTCGCCACTGAAACAGACATCCTTCTGTAATTATGCTCCGGCCTCGGTGCGACTCCAGGGTTCAGGGTTTGGGGTCGATATCTTGAAGTTTCGTTGCAACCCCACCTGCTGTGCATGGTGGCGCAACTTCGACCGCAGACGGGCTCGTCCGACTAGTATGCTGCATGCTTTTCTGGTGGATGCCTCCTTAGCCGACATTCGATTGCTGGTGTTTCTCAAGCTTTTGTTCGGGAATGCCCGGCAGGAGCATGAGCCAAAGGGTCTTGCTGGCATGCAATGCGCTGTGCCAATGACTGCACAATGCTAGACAGACAGACGGGGTTTACAGCCAGCATTCCAACTGAAATTGCGGAACCCCAACGATTGCAAGATGCCCCCAACAGAAACACACGTGCACACACACACAGACACACAGACAGTGACATCTAGCAAGGATTCTGTACTCTTTGTGCCATCAGCAGCTGCTAAGCAGCTTCAGAGAAACAGCAAGAGATACCCGACCGAGTTCGCATGTCCCGCCACCCTGCCTTGTCCGACTGCTGCGACCATCGATTGCAGCATGAGAGAAGGCACGTTAGCAGTGTATGAAAGTTCCGCTGGAAGCTGTGAAGCTATGCACAGAAGACCGTGCTCAACAGAGTGAATCTTGATTCAAGCTACAATGTGCTGAACTAGCAATGCTACCGTTCCTTATCTTGATTCACTGATACTCGTAGTATATCGGGGGTGGTGGCTGCACAGCACACTGGTGCAAGCTTTTTGACGGTCTGTTTGCGTTCAGGATCGGTTCTCAGGAAGCAGGCTCTTTGCACATCTGCCGACTTGTGGGAGGTTCCTATGTGCTGCTCAAGGCTTTCCAGCAGCTGTGCGCGCCCCCGGGGATGAAAGTGTCCACCGGCTGGCAGCCGTCCTTGCACCCTGGCAAAGGGGACTCGACACCTTTCACCCAACAAGCCGTCGAGCGGAAGAAGCCCGGGCGGGAGTCCATCCGGTAGATCTCAGAGAGGGTGTTCTGTGCAGGACAGCCATGATAACGCAAGTCATAAGTGCAGCAAAGACCGGTCGTGATTATTATCATGGTAACTGCGACTATCGTTCACGGCCCATCAACATCAAGGTCGCCATGGTAATCAACATCCTTATCATCGTTGCCACTGTCATTGTAATCATCATCATCACCATCATCATCGTCGTCGTCATCATATCGCCATCGTCGTAATCAACACCATCATCAACACCCCCCCCCTCCCAAACAACAAAAAAAACAGCCGCGGAAGCAGCAGCATCATTGCATTCAGCCAGCCGAGGTACATCCAGGACTTTCAGCACGAAGCTTGTCGGCAGTTGTTTTCACCGTTGCCGCCATTCTCAGTCTACATGCCGGTGTGAAGCGCTTGCAGTAGCAGTCGTAGCACTCGTCGAAGTCGCGACCGTGCGGTTGGTAGTGGCGGCAGCGGGTCGTGGTCGCTGTCTTTGTTACACTGTTACATATCTTCGAGTGGTAGACGCGGTAGTAGTGTAGTTTTGGCTGCAGCAAAAGTCGCGGCAGCAGCAGCGGCGACAGCCATAGTGTCGTAGAAAGAGCAATTGGAGTGTTGCTGCCTGGCAAACATTGGCAACCAGCATAAGAGTTGTGAGAAAGTACAAGCGAAAGCGAACCGAAGGGAGAGCAGAAGTTTGAGCATGGGAAAGCAGCACCACGACAGTTTCAGTGGTAGGCGGGAAAAATGCCAGCGTCTGTCTGAGACAAGTGTGAACAGGAGTGTGATAGGAGCCCATGCAGGATCCGGCCGGCCCCCTCAATCTTCTACTTTCATTCTTTCACTCCCTCCGAAAATGCCTGCGTCCCTCAATCGAGGGAACGGTAAGTGCAAGCGGGCCCCGGGCTAGACCCTAAACCCTAAACCCCTGGCTGCTCCTCCTATACTTCTGACATGCCGCTCACACAATTTTCACGGTTCTACTCAAGCTCTCCTTCCCACTTTTCCGTCCAATGTCTCAAAGAACCGCTCTCATAATGCTGAGTAGAATCCGAATAACAGTAACATAAAAGTTTACACTGTTATTTACAGATACAACTTACAAGGATGGTAACAACGACAACTAACAAATGGTAATACAAGAATAATGGTAGCAGTGACGCAGGACTGGCTGAAGCATGAGCTGGCGTGCATACTGTGTGCTAGATCTGGTTACCGACCACGTAAAGCAACAACTGCATTGTGTTGCAGGAACTCCTTTGTTATGAATAGTTATACTTATGTCATTCTTGTGAGGCTGCCGGCCAGTTGCCTTCATGAGGATCTGAAGTTGGAGGTCTTATGACTGACGCCCAGCCCAGCCTTGACCCTCAAGCAACAGGTCCAGGACTCCAAACCCACAGTCGGAAAATGAATCCGAGACGAATCCAGGGCGGGACCACCATAGAAGGCTTGGCCAGTGACGTGGACATTCGGGACGCTTGGACCTAACAGAGCGTCAGTTTTTCTTTCGATCAAGCGCTAGTTTGCGAGTTTCGTTCTTCGGTATGGGCTTGGCTGCTTCACCCTGTTAGATGGATCCTCAGAAGACACCAAACCAGGAGATCCATCTGAGGGTTGATGTTGAAAAGCTCCTATATTATATCCTGTAACTGGGGTCGGACCCGTCCTCTGAAAATCAGAACCCTTGAGCCGCCCAGTCGCACGTATCAGGCTGGGAAGGAGATTCTCGGCTTTCCCTGGAAGTCGCGCGCGACTTGTCTGCAAATCGGTGAAGTCGCTGACTTCTCGCCAGCCTCCGAGTGGGCATACTCATGTTTGAGACATGCCCTAAATTCCTCAAGCCAGACATCAGGCGAAGAATGAATGGCGCGCAACAACGCACAGCACAACACTCATATGCCTCATATGCACTCAGAACTCTGGATCTCAGGTCACCGATGATCAGATAAGCGAGGACCGTTTTTTGGGCTGCCGCTGGGTGCGCTTACAGGCTTAACATATAGGGATGGTAGGTCCACTGTAGGCTGTGGCTCTAGAGACTGCAGTGAGTTCGTTTGAACAAGCGCCACAGTATCGGAGAGTCTTGGGAAGAAGCCTTGCAGCTTAGGTGGTAAAGACCCAAAAAGTGGAGTGGCCTGTGGCTATGCCAAACATGGGTCTCCTGGCCTGAAAGCTCGCACATGCTCGCAACCCTTATCGAACCACAGAATGTCGTACAACCTACCCGAAAGTCTTTTCGATTTGATGGTCTTCTTGTCTCCAGCCCCAGTGTGGGCGCAAAGCTCCGATTCTGCACCCGCCAAGCGTCCTCTCGTCGAGAGTTAGCACGTTGCATTGAGTTCAGGCGTCGTGTCAAGTGACCCAGTATAGGTTGTTGCGTCAACATTGTGCTGGGAGCAATGTTCGACAATCTTATCATGGACCCCTTCGAGGGCAGGTGTTGCTGCAAGGACTTGAGGGCCAAGTGCTTGGGGTCCATGCGGGTTGGCGAAATGTGTTCGAAAGGCATCCTGGCGGCTGTTCGACGCACAAGTCGAGGGTCATGGCTCTTGCATGGATGCTGATTTCATAACACTACAACTGTGGTGCCTGCATTTTGCCACAACTGCTGTGCATGTCTTGGGTTGCTTTCCAGCTCAGGCTCTGGCTGGCCGAGAAGAAGCTGGAGTTCTTAGGGAGCGATGCCGATGCTCGCCACAAAGCGTCGGGTTGTCTGGTCTGTAGATGTGCAAAGTTTTGCAGCAGTAACAACAACAAATAATAGTAGTAGTAGTGGTCGTCGTCGTCGTCGTAGTAGTAGTAGTAGTAGTAGTGGAGGTGGTGGTACTAATTAATCCACTAATCAATTTATTAGTATTGTGTCTTCATCGCTTTCATGATTATTTACTGGTATT